GTGTGTGTGTGTGAGTGAGTGTGTGTGTGTTCGTATTCTCTGTGTGTGTGTGTGTGTTGGAAGGGGTTCATATGTGAATGTGAGAAAGAAAAATAAAGTACACTTCCCAATATTTTACATATAAAAATTATAATTGTATATTGTACATATGGCGACTAATGTAATGTTAACTCATTGAGATATATATATATATATAATTTTTATGCCTAAACTGACTTTTTTTTTACTGGATAATATATTTTTATATTTCAATTTAAAATTTAAATCAGAAATAAAAAAAAATCAAATATTTAAGATCAGAGCTCAAGAAAAAAAAAGAGCTTAGAAATTCTCACGACTTCTTAAGATTGCATTAATTTTCAAAAAATTTTTAAAGGCCTTGATTTTTATTTTTCTAAAATATTTTCACGTGTCCATTTAAAACGAAAACCAGAAAATAAAATAACAGACTTGCACTTTACATTTTAACATCCATATAATTCATTACTATTGTACTAAGTGTAAATATAGAAGTTATATACTGTAAATGCACAGAAATATGAACATTGTAATGTTTATAAACAAATGTAGGAGTATATATGTGTGTGTGTAAACGTGAATAAACACATTATATAAATATATATAGCCTGTATATCTGCTGGAGCCCATCTCAGGGCCTGACCAGCTCAGAGCGTCTGCGCATGCGCACCGGAGCAGCGCTAATGGCGGAGAGCGTGCGGTCGCCGTTCGATTACCGGGAGCCCCCGACCCTGGACAGCGACGGGGATGGAGGAAAGCCGCCGCCGCCGCGCGGGTCAGTCGCTCTCGCTGGAGAAGCGGGTCGTGGCGCTTGTTTCGGGGGCATGCTCGGATTAGCGTGCGTGCTAACGGTTAGCCGGTCCGGTTGTGTTGTTCAGAGGAAAACCCGCGGCCGTTATATCGACCCGCGCCTCTCTCTCGTGCTCCGAGCTCGCGCGCGTCTTTACTGTGCTATCTTCCCGTTCCGCGTTACCGTTACCGTCAGAAGCGGCGGCGCCTCGAACGATTAGCAAAACACTGCGCGGGTGCGCGAGACCAGCCGGCGCGTGCACGGACACTGCTGCCGAGCGCGCTCGCGAGCAGTTCACCATGGTAACGTTCGCGGGGACATGAGCGAGATCTCCATAGCAACGGTCGCGCTGGACATGAGCTAGATCTCCATAGCAACCGTGGCGGGGACATGAGCACGATCTCCATAGCAACGGTCGAGCGGGACATGAGCGAGATTGTCATAGCAACTGTCGCAGGGACATGAGCGAGATCTCCATAGCAACGGTCGTGCGGGACATCAAGCGAGATCTCCGCTGGACATGAGCGAGATCTCCATAGCAACGGTCGCACTGGACATGAGCGAGATCTCCATAGCAACCGTGGCGGGGGACATGAGCGTATCTCCATAGCAACGGTCGAGCGGGACATGAGCGAGATTGTCATAGCAACTGTCGCAGGGACATGAGCGAGATCTCCATAGCAACGGTCG